GACTCAGAGCTACAGTGGAACTAGAAAACCCCTGCCCAGGAAGTGCGTGGAAGCTGTACACACACACACACACACACACACACACACACACACACACACACACACACTACCCACCCATTATTACCCAAACTCCGGACTAAAGGACAAGAGGCTAGGTCCCACCCCAGACTGCAGTAGGGCTTGGGAGCTCCAGAGCTGAGCCTGTTTTGCTGAGCCCCTACCGCTTGGCTCAACAGCCTCAACCCCAAATCTCAGAAAGTCAGAGTATCTGGTCTTAAGAGTCCCTGCAGCTAATTATATTCCAAATTCCTAGAGTTGTCCATTTTTCTTTAAGAGCTAACACTCTGGCTAGTCAGGACTACAGTAGTCAGGTGGGCAGTAGGGTTCAGAGAAGCCACTTGAATCCCCAGAGTCCTAAGTCACCTACACCAGGTCTGCCAGCAGTAAACTGTCTTGCAGTCACCTAACAGAGAGAGGATCAGCCACTTACCACCTTTTAAAAGGGAAGTCTGTGTCTCAGGCCTCCAAGGGAAAGCATCCAGTAGAAGAGGGATGGCCAGCAGCTGGGAGGTGGGTCCATGCTCCAGGGTGCCCCTTATTGCTCTGCTTTCCAGCCCTGGCTTTCTGCAGCTGCCAACACCTGGGTGTCCCAGCCTAGGCTAGCATCTCAGGAAAGGCTGGGTGGGACAGCAATGCCATTGTTCCCTGTATGCAGCACAGCAGGTCCCAGGTCACCGGGAAACTACATTCAACACCATCTGAGAGTGAGTAGCAGGTCTGTGCTGCAGCTGGGTGCCAAGGGGAAAGATTATCACTGGGCAGCCTTGACCATGTCAGTTAAGCTCTTGGTCCTTGGTTGTCTTTTCTGTAGGAGGGTAAAAGGACTGGAGATTGGTGTGGGGGGATAATATCCGGCCTAAAAAGTGCTTTATATTCCCAAGGAATAAAGATTGACCAGTCCTGAGGGAGGAGAGGTCATCTGCTATGGTCATCCAGCAAGTTCTAGTGAAAGCCAGAGGTTAGACCCAAGTCCTTCTGGTCTCTACCCTATGCTCATATTCATTCTCATTAGAAAATGGAAACATGCTGGGCGTGGCAGTGTATGCTTGTAACATAAACACTTAGGGCTGAAGGCTTGAGGCTGGCCTGGGCTATATCGTAAAAACAGAAAGGGGCACTGTTTGTTGGGAGGAGAGGAACCAGCCAGAGCAGGAACAGGAGGCACATGGGGGAGAGAGAACAAAGTATAGTAAGTATGAAAATGCCATGCTGATGTTCATTACTTTGCATGCTAACTGAAACCTTATTTTTGAAAACCTTAAAAAATAAAAAGCATAGACATGTTCATTCAGCCTTGTGCATGATGGAGGAGCCCTCAGTGTTAGATGAAACCTGTGTTTAGGGGATCATGGGGAGAAAAGTCAGTACTGAGTCTGACCCTAGCATACTTGAACCATGGCCCTGGCTGGTGTTCTGACTGTAACTTCTGAGCATTTACTGAGCATTTGCTGGGTACCGGGTACCATGCTAGACTCTGGGGATGCTCCAGTGAACATGGGTGACTAGTAGTAGGAACCTGACCTAGACAGGGTGGGTGCTGGGCTCAGGCAGGGCAAGGACCAGCCCATATTGGCAGGAAGCAGTTCCACAAAGCTAAACAAGCCATGGTCACAGTCTACAAAGAGCTGGCAAGTCACTGGGTCTCTGTGTTCGACCAGGGTTGCCTCTTCCAAATTCCTCAGCGGCCATCCTCAGGCCCTCCCTGCCCCTTTCTGAACCGTCTTCTCTGGGCTTCCAGACCTTTGGCCTGTGTTCAGTCCTCATTGCCCTGGCCTTGCTCTGCTTGACGCAGGTTAAGCCAGCATTTTTTTCTGCACACCCTTCCCCTGGGCCTCCCAGGTCTCTACCTACAGCCGCATTCTTGAGTAGTTTTCCATTCTTCCCCTGGTCACCCTACTCTTCACAAATCTGCAGTACTCTGCATCCATAGGTCCCAGCTGTGTGCTAGGTATTTCTGCATCTTTCTTACCCATGTCTTGTTAACATGAAGGCTCTCTGCCGGGCAGTGGCGACGCACACTCAGGAGGCAGAGGCAGAAGCAGGGGGATCTCTATGAGTTCCAGGCCAGTCTGGTCTAAACAGTCAGAACTGTTATACAGAGAAACTCTGTCTCAAAGATAGATAGATAGATAGATAGATAGATAGATAGATAGATAGATAGATAGATAGACGACAATTGTCTCACTCCCAGCCTGTGAGTGAACTCAAGAGCAAGTCAAGTAGAAACTTAAGATGTCTGTTTCTCCATCATCTGACCCCTCCACTATATAGACAGCCACCAGGGACAAGGACTGTAGTCCATACCTGGAATACCCTGCATTTCCTGTCCTAGTGCCTCTGCAGTCTAAACCGTTCCCACAGCACCGGATGGTTGCCTCTTGTTGAGATTTTGTTCATCTGTAACATAACTTCAAGCAGGTCTGGACTCCTTCAGCCGGGCAGTGGTGGTGCAGCCGGTACTTACTCCCTGTCTGGTCTCCTTTCTACCCGCCGACTCCGCACACCTGTTAACATCTCCTCCTTTGTCCTTGCTGAGAATCCTCCCTCTGCCTCTCACCATCCTCCCCGACCTTAGCCCTGGCTGTCGCCCATGCTTCCCAGCAGATGGCGCCCGACTTCTGTGGTACATGACCAGGTGGTGGAGTAATCCCCTTTGAAAACCTCTCTCTACAAGGACCGTTTATCTTTTATGTGGTGCGGAGGGAGAGGTGAAGGGACCAGGGTCACGATGGAGTGACACCTAGGGCCACTTCTGAGCTGCCATGAGCAGAATAAACCCCACACAGGAGGAGACCGGAACGGCTGCAGGGCTATGTGAGGAGCAAATGTGACCTGGAAGGGTGGTTAGAGGCCAGCATATTGGACCCACTGAGAGCTGCAGGTTGGTGACAGGTGACAGTGAGCCTGCAGCACAAAGCCATCCTCGCCACTGGGAAAGGTCTCGAGCTGAGTCCCCTGAAGACGTGTCCCAGGCACACAAGGGAAACATGAGGACGGAGGCGAGGCGCTGCTGCCACCACGAGGCCAACCTCGATTGTACATAGGGCACTCTTGGTGTCCTCCTCTTCCTTTTGAACACAGGAAGTATGGGGTGTGGCTGTGGGGTGGGGGCGTGCGGCTGGGGGTATGAGTGCACTTGAGCAGTGTGCGGCTGTGAGGGTGTGAGTGACTGAAGGGGAGAGGTGTGTGACCATTGGGTGTGACGGTGTGACTGAGGCTAAGCTGTGTGTGACTGTGGGTGAATGTAGGTATTTGGGATGTGAGGTTGTGGGTGTGAGGGTGTGAATGTGAATTAGCAGTGTGTAGTTCTGGCTGTAAGGGTGTGAAGATGACTATGGGTGTTTAGAGTGTGTTGAGTGTGGGTGTAAGGAGTGTGCGGTTGTGAGTGTGAGTGTGACTGCGGGTTGTGAGGAGTGTGGTTGTGAGTGTGAGATGTGAGTGTGAGATGTGAGTGTGGCTGTGGGTGTGTGAGGAGAGTGTGGGTGTGAGTGTGAGATGTGAGTGTGTGTGTGAGGAGTGTGTGAGTGTGAGATTGACTGCGGGTGTGTAAGGAGTGTGCGGTTGTGAGTGTGAAATGTGACTGCGGGTTGTGAGGAGTGCGGGTGTGAGTGTGAGATGTGAGTGTGTGTGAGGAGTGTGTGTGTGTGAGATTGACTGCGGGTGTGTGAGGAGTGTGTGTGTGTGTGAGATTGACTGCGGGTGTGTGAGGAGAGTGCGGGTGTGTGAGATGTGAGTGTGTGTGTGAGGAGTGTGTGTGTGTGAGATTGACTGCGGGTGTGTGAGGAGAGTGTGGGTGTGTGTGTAGACGTGGAATATGACATGAGCCTCCCACTGCTGCCTGTGGCTCCCTATTAAGAGGCCGTCTCCTGAGCCCATTCTTGTCCCGTCTCTCAGCCTGAACTACCAGCAGAACAGTCCGAGGGGGGTTGCTGTCTCTCTGCATCTACCTGACCCTCTCCAGTGTCTTGTAGTGCATGGCTTCTGAGTCAGGAACTGACCTCCTGGGTCCTCCAGACTGTTCCTCACAGCTTCTCCACTTGCCTGGACACCTGCACGCAGGTAGCGTTAGACCACAAAGCTGGCCACCTGGCTGTCTCTGAGGCACCTGTGAGTTTCTTTCTCAGAGCGGAAACAGCACTCTGACTTGGGGTCTGAGGCATCTGCAGCCCGAGGATGGGCTGCCTGCTCAAGAGGCCGAGAGCTGGTGAGCTCCTTGGCCTTCTGGGAATAATCCAGTTCCATCAGCTTGCAGCTCAGCCCAAATGGGACGAGGAAGGGAGCTCGGGGCCCCTGGTCACAGTCTGTACCCAGGAAAACAGCGATGCCCCTGTGCCTCCCTCAGACGCGTCTGGTGGCTTCCTGGTCAGCTGGTTTCTCCGTCATTGGCCCTTGTGGGATGGGCAGCTTGGTGTGGGAGTGTTCACATTCTGGTTCAGTCTCTCTCTGACTAGGTGCTGGCTCGGGTGAGTGTCTCGCCCTCTCTGAACCTGTTGTCTCTTCCTTGTGAGGCCATGGTGACTTCATTCAGACGAAAGGCTTGGTGAACAGCAGCAGCTGTTGCTTGATGAGTTTTCCTCCCTGTGTGGCTCTGGTGGCTTCCAGTGGCTGTTCTCTGTGGCAGAGCCATGGCAGTAGCTGGCTGCAGGAAGGCAGCCAGTGGGAAATTTGCAAGTGTAGCGCCCTTTCCTTTCCTGCCAGGAAAAAGTGGTGCCTGTGTCTCTGGGGGAAGGGAAGACACCATCCCTATCGGGACTGGGCTGCAGGGGTCCGCGGTGGATCCTCAGGGCCTTTCAGCTCTGTCGTCCTCTGTTCCTCATCCTCCTCTCCCAGTGCCTAACCCTGGCTGGGTGCAGCTAGGGAGCGCGTTCATCTTCTGAGGTGGGACTCTGCCTCTTCGCCTCTTTTGTTTTTCTCCTTTACATGACACCTGTTGCTCATAGGTACAAATCAAATGAAGAGTATATATATGTGCGAGGCCGCGGCCGAGGGAAATATGTTTGTGAGGAATGTGGAATTCGCTGCAAGAAGCCCAGCATGCTGAAGAAACACATCCGCACCCACACTGACGTCCGGCCCTATGTGTGCAAGCACTGTCACTTTGCTTTTAAAACCAAAGGTAAGAGACAGTCAGCTGGGGCACCGCCCTGCCCAAGGCAGGGATCCCCCTTGGGGGAGCCCCAGCACAGAGCCCTCTGCCTGGGGGCCTGGAGTACCCCCGCATCCTGAGCTCCCACTCCACTTGGTACCCATGGCAGAGCGGTGGCTCTAGACTGGTCAGTGATGCCCACAGCTGCCACAGTCACGGCATGGACCCTGCACACAAGCTCCCGCCCACTCTCTACAGAATCTAGCCTACACTTTGTGGTTTTCTGTAGGCCATCACCCTTCCTGTGCATGCCTTCCATGGATCTGATGACCTCTGGCATGCACACTTGTCACAGTCACTCTTGCATTGGAGATCCATCCCACTTGGAGCCGCGCGACATACTTGCATGTTCACCTCTGTCCACTTCTCGCCACACCTCGCATTCTGTGAGCCACCCGGCTTCTCTGCAGCATTCAGTGCAGGGTCCAGCTGCAACCTGCCCCACCCCCATCCTGAGGGCCTATCACTTCAGCTTCCAGCCATGCTCCACAACAGAGTCAGGGAAGGGTCTGGCCGTCATCTGTGAGAGGACAGACTGCTTGTTGAGGGCATGCATCTCAGAGAGCTGTGGTGGGCGATGGTGGCCTGGGCTTGCTGCAGTCTCTAGGCCCTGGTGGAACCAGGATGGTTCATAAGGTTCTTAGATGGGGCGCATCCCTCGCTGGGAGGTCCTGTAGCTTGCTTGCAGAGAAAGACGGTGAGCCTTGCAAGGAAGCTTGGGTACTCAGCACCGTTGGCGGGTTTTGCCTCTTGCTTTGAAGATTCCTGGGTTTGGACATGAGGATCCTGTCTTTTCTTCTGAGTCAGTTAGAAGAGGAGTCATAGAGGGCTGCAGAGACACAGCTCCAGGCAGACTTTGGCTTTCGACTTTCTTTTCTTCTGAAACACAAGAGGCAGAGCAGCAGCTGTGAACAGGAAGGAGCTGAGCCCTCCAGCCTCCTGTTGCCATCAACTCTTGCCATTCTAGGTCAGGGGTCATTGTCTACTCCCTGGCCCAGTGGCCTCCTTTCCGGCATGTTCCACTTCTCATTTCTTGACCGTTGGCCGACCCCGGCCCTCCTCTGTCTTCTCGGTCATCTTCTAGCTGAGCCCGCAGTTTCCATGGAGGTTTGGAGTTGGTCAGAGACGCCACCCTTCCACTTCTCTTTCTGGGTTCTCTTTCTTAGCATCTCAGAAACAATGTCTCAAAAGGTGCTGAGAAGAAAATTAGACAAGAGCCCTGCCAGACCCACGCATCCCAGCTTAGCGTGTGTGGGTCCCTGTCCCACACCTCCAGTCCCACTCCTGAGGTGTGGAAGAGAGATGGGAGTCACTGAGTGACAGCTTAAACAAGGAGGTCTTTAACTTTGAAAGTAGAGACTTCTTGATTGGGCTGGAAGAGACCACAAATGCTGCAGCTCCTGTCCCAAGGACACAATGTCCTCCTCCTCCTCCCTCCATTGGACGAGGCAACCTCTAAGTGGCCAACAGATGCTGCTTCTCCTCTGGGCGTGTCTAAGGAATTGAACTCTTCCATCCTCAGCATGAAGAGCCCTGAGGAGCTTCCCACCTGGGCTGCCCACTGTGTACCCCAGTCCTCTGAGGAGCCCCCACTTAGTCCCTTGGCCTCACTCATTCTGGAAGCTCTGAGAATGACTTCAGCCCTCAGGGAACCTCCACTGTCCAGGAGGTACCTTCCTTGGAAACCACACTCAGCTGCCTACAGTTTGGTCTCTGGGAACTTTTCTGGGGTCTCTCTGTCTCTGAGCTACCCAGAGATCCAGAGGGTCCTGAGGGCAGAGCCTGCGGCCTTCCCATTGCTGGAGATAGAGACTCTCTCAGGGAGGCTGGGCTTTGCTCTTGGCCAATGATCAGAACAAGCTAAAGTCTTCCTCCCCTGGGCCTCCCAGCCAGGGATAAGAGAAGTGAGCCTAAAAACAGAATCTCACACTTCATGCCTGGCACGGATGAGAATAGAGAGAAGTTCCCCTTGGACATGAAGGGAGAGCGGGAGGCAGGAGCACACGGCTTTCCTCGTAGCCACGGCTCTGATGCCCTGTTGACTGTCAGCTCTGACGATGCCAGCCCCTCCTCTCCTCTAGGATCTGTCTGCCTGCTTCCTAGCAGGCCTTGCTCTTGAGTTGCGTCTCCATCTAGGGTACATGGACACTGAGGCTGGGCCTGGCAGACCTCAGGCCCTTGCCTACATCATCTGGCTATGTCTGAGCCAGGAGATCCTTCCTGTCTGTCTCTGTCTGCCTGTCTGTGTCTTGTCTTTATGTCTGTCACACACTCAAGTGGCAGTTTGGCCTCTGGGAACTACTTGAGGAGGGTCTCTGTGGGTGGGGCAGGAGGAGATAGCAAGCTAGCCCAAGGAGGGTCCCTTTCTCTGTCTAGATTCTTCCTAGAGGCCACTGCGTGCCTGAGCCTTGGACAGGCCCTTGCACCCATCGCCTAGGGGGCAGGCCCTTGTTCAGCCGGGGGGACAAGGTGATTGTCTTCTGCTCTTACTGGCAACAGCTCCTCCGCCAGACAGCCTGCTCTCCCGGCCACTCACCCATCCTCCACTCCCAGATGCCACGCTGGGCTGTCCGTGGAGGCTGGGTTGACTGGGAAAACCTTGGCTGAGCAAGCCTCCTCTTTACAGCCTCCACAGGATGTTGACAGAGGAAGGATGGGCCTTTTGAGTGTGGGCTCCCTCCCACCTCTTCTGAGAGCCTCTGGGGTCCCTACTGAAGGGCGACAGCATCCTGAGGTTACTAGCAATCACCCCCCCCCCCCGCTAATCCAGCACAGTGCCTGGCAGAGTCCGAGGCAGAGACATAGCTCACTGGTAGAGTGATTGCCTACCATTCCCAAGGCCCTGGGTGGCACCCCAGGCACAATGTTGAATAAAAGACACTGTCATAGGAGGTGGCTCGCTCTGTGCCAGCCATACTCTACTCCCACGTGCTTTGTCTTATGATCTTCCCACCAGGTGGGTATTGCTTTCCCACTACAAAAACTGGGGCCCCACAAGGTGAAGAGCATTATAAAAAAAAACTCTCTCAAAACCACATAGCTAACAGTGCAGTGCCCAGCCACCCTACCTCCCCAACCAGGCCATCCAGCTACAAAGCCACCTGGATCCCTTCTTGCACTGCAAGGCCAGCCAGATCTGAGGGTCCCAAGCCCTGAGTCTGGCCGGGGCTTGACACTAGCCAACTCTGTGGCTCTTGGCCAATTGCTTCACTGTACTGGTTTACAGGAGCCCTGCCAGTACCCAGGACAGTCAGGAACCTTGCCCAGTGATGTCATCAGCTCCTGAGCCCAGAGTTAGGTCAGAAATGGGGAGAATAACCCTAGTAGAGTTTGAATGACATGGTCTGTGAAGTCTCATCCATCACTTCCTTCTGGGTGCCTTTCTCAGGAGACTGAACACTACTCTCTGTGTCTAGCATTGTTGGATAGAAATCTAAATTTTCCAGGTAACATTGACAAATTGTCCTCTGTGACGTAGGGTACTCACAGGAGGGATCCAAGGGCTGGAACCTTGGGGTCTCTGGTACACAACTGTCTTGTCTTGCCTCCTGCCTGCTCTGCTCATACAGGGAGCATGAAGGGCATGAGACTGAATTGTGGTCTCTGTCTGGATGCAAGAGAAAGGCCCAAGGTGGGCGGGGTAGACCCAGGAGTGATACGTGGGCGAGGAGCTGGCTTCTCTCTAGTCCTGGCCACCCACATTCACCCAACCTAGGGGATCTCACTTATGCTTCCCCAGCAGCCTCAGCAAAACCTGAAACTTCTGAATGATGATGACCCTCAGATTCAGCTATGAGTTCTCCCCATGTTTATCTGTCTGTCCGTCTCTCCTGTTAGCCCCCTCCTGTCGACTCCTCTAACAGTGTCCCTGTTCCTGTCACCTCCCACAGATTGTCTTGTCTGCCCATCTCCATTGGTCTGCCCGCCCATCCAGCTGCCCTTTCTCCTTCTATCCTACTGTCTGGCCTCCCACACATTTCCGTGTGTGGACATTCATTCCTCTTTTCATGTGGCTGTCCATCCTCCCATCTTTTTACGGACCGACTTCCACCCATTCTTCCATTTATGTTTCTTCCTAACAGTCATGTACCCCATCTGTCTATCATCTGTCTGCTCGTCCAGTGTCCCATCCATCAATCACCATGCTCCTGTTCTTCTCTCCATATCCCTCTGGTCAGCTATCCACCCACCCATCCATCCATCCATCCATCCACCCATCCATCCATCCATCCATCCACCCATCCATCCATCCATCCATCCATCTATCCATCCATCCATCCATCCACCCCCAGTCCCTCTGTGCATCCCTTTCTAGAGACATCACCTCTCTGTTCCACCCCTCTCCATCCATCCATTCATTCAAACTGTGAGACACTGTGCCTGACTCAGGGCTGCTGACGTGTCATGTGATCAGTCACGTGGAAGCAGGGCACACAACCCAAAGGAACTTCATGCATTGTCTGTGTTCTCTGGGGACAAGTCAGGGAGCTTGGCTTCTCCTCCCAGCACCTGCTGTCCACAAAGCTCATCACCCTGCAGCCTATGATGTGTGTGCACAGCGGGGAACCTAACACTGTTGCTGTGGCCCTGGTCCCAGGAGCTGCAGCCCTGACTCCTCAACCTGTGGGGCCAGACCTACAACTTGAGGCAGCACCTTAGGGCTTCACAGAGCCTTAGCCAACCTGTCCCCAGAGCATGCTGTCTTCACTGTGCCCTGGGTCCCTTGCCTGTGTATCTCACTATTACTACAAATGACCACACCCTGGTTCCTCTGCCTAGACCCCAAGGTTTGGCCTTATGGGTGGCCTAGAAGTACACTCAGCCAGGATTTCTCAGTCCCCATGTACTAAGTGAGTCATAAGAGCCCATGTCATTCCAGCATTTATGATGGCAAATTATCAGGGCTGGAACGATGGCTCAACAGTTAAGAGCCCTGCCAGCTCTTCCAGAGGTCCTGAGTTCAATTCTCATTACCCACATGGCAGCTCATAACTGTCCGTAACTCTAGTTCTCGGGGATTTGACACCCTCTCACAGAGTATATACAGGCAAAACGCCAGTGCACATTAGACAGACAGACAAGATTAGATTGCACATTCTCTGAGTGTGCCACTAGTACCTGGGCCCAAACTCAAGACAGAGCAGCAGAAGAAAATGCAGTCTTTTCATTTTCCCTTTGTTGTGTTTTAACTGGCGTCTCAGGCTGTCACTGTCCCCTCTGTCCCCGCCCAGCTGCATGTCCTCTCCACTCCAGCCTCTGTGTTTCACCTTCGGCAGGAGTTCTAACTCCGTAGTCTGGCCTGGACACTGGGGCAGAGGGTGCCTGGCCCCTGCCCAGCCCCTGACAGTGGTCTGAGGAGCTGTGGCCTGCAGCTGTGTGTCACCTCCATATGCTCAGCCTTCTCTGCCCTCTTCCTGCCAGCAGGCCTGAGTCTGTCCTCGTTTCTTTCCAGGGAATCTGACTAAGCACATGAAGTCGAAAGCCCACAGCAAAAAGTGCCAAGAGACGGGGGTGCTGGAGGAGCTGGAAGCCGAAGAAGGTGCAGTGCAAACCTCTTTCCCTGGCCCCCCTCCCCCTCCCTCCTCCCCTCCCCCTCCCCCTCCCTCCCCCTCCCTCACCCCTCCCTACCTCCTCCCCCTCCCTCTCCCCTCCCTCCCTTCCCTGTCCTACCTCCCTTCCCTGCCCTCCCCCCTTCCTCCCTTCCCTGCCCTCCATCCCTTCCCTGTCCTCCCCCTCCCTCCCTTCCCTGCCCTCCCTCCCTTCCCTGCCCTCCCCTCTAGTTTGCTGAACAACTGGGCAGCAAATGTTAAATTCGTAAAATGCTCCCCGGTGCACATGGCAAGCTACTGTGCAGTTCAGTAGAAGCCAGTGTTCCAGGAGAATCCCAGTACCTGTGGGAGCTCAGGCAATGCTTACTGAATGTGAGCTCATGAGTAACTACAGGCAGCACTGAGTGCCCAGTGTGTCAGGCACATTCTAAGCGCGTGCCCCGAGTTGTCTTAGCAGAATCTGGATGGCTCTGCAGACAGACACTTAGCTAGAAACCACATACCCACCTCCATGCCTCATCTGCCCTGGGCTTAACACATGGGCCCGTGGAGCTGGGAGTGTCCCTGAGAAAGGTAAAGCTAGGTCCCATAGGTCCATCCCTTCCCACTCCTGCCCCGTCTCTACAACCTGGCTACCATCCTCCAATACCAGAGGCAAACATAGCAGATAGGACAGGGGTTAGCAGTAAGGAGGGAGATCAGGCAGGAGACCAGAAGTAACAAACCTTATCTTCAGATTCTCTGAAATCAGGATCAGTGTGACAGGAGGAGAGGGAGGAAAGGGAAAGGAAGAAAGGAGAGCCATGCTTTTGGTTTTGTCTGTTGTTGTTGTTGTGGGGGAGAGCAGGATAACAGTATTTAAATCAAGTTTCCTTTAACATTGGCTAAATCAGTGTTCAGAACAGTAAACTCTTCACAAACTCTAATGCATGGCCCCAAGCTTGTCAGAGTGAACATCAGGCTACAGACGGTGTCTCGACAAGGTCCCTGCAGCACGCAGTAGATGCTTGATTTGCCCCCATTTCAAGAAAAGGGAAAGGAAAGCCCAGCGCTGGGGCCGACAAAGTCACGGAGCCCACTTAGCTACCACCTGCCCTCTGTCCTTGAATGAGATGGGGGCCATGCAGGTGCCCTCTGACCACCCCTGGCTGTGTGCAGGGAACTCCAGCAGGGTGCAGGGATGTGACCCAGGTCAGGCACGTTAGCACAGGCTGAGTGAGCACTGAGAAGTGGGCTAATTCCAGATGCAATCCGAGGCTGAGCCCATAGATCTTGCTGCTACATTGCAGAGGGAAGAGAAGGTGAGAGGAAAGGGACCCAGGATGACTCCAAGTTTTGTAAAAGGATGAACTTGTTACTTCCTGTGCCAAGGTAGACCCAGGCACAGGCATTAGAAACTGGTGCCTCCCAAACACACAAAGCATGGTAGCCGAAGAAGCTGGGAAAGCTCTTAGGCTGCCGGCAGCTCCAGTGCTGGTGAGGAGAAGGTTGTAAGTTACTGCCACCGTGTGGTCAGTCTTAGAAACTGCACCCAGCCGTAGGCTCAGTTCAGTGCCTTCCAGGGGCCTTGATTCCAACAGTGGCAAAAAAAAAAAAAAAAAGAAAAGAAAAGAAAAGAAAAGCCCCATGTGGAGAATCAGGAAGGGAAGGGGGCGGTGCTGAACAGGTAGGGGAGGCACTTAGATACCTGCAGGAACCTGGATGTGGAGTGCCTGAAGTAGTGTGCCCTGGAGAGGGCTTCCATCATCCGTGCACGACTCGGAAAAGAGCAGCCTACCCTTAGGGCCTCTGCTTCCTCCTTCGTCTAGGAAGGCTTTGGGGGGTCAGGAGATGCTGGCCCTGACTCCACCCCCAGCCAGGACCCTGCTTCAGCCTTCATCTGCCAGTGCTAACGGTGCCCCGCCACCTGCCTATGAACTAGCCATCATCACCCAGCAAGAAGATGGTGGGGCAAGGGTTCAAACCCAGGCCACATCTGCTTCTTGAAGCATACAGCCATTTCCAACTGCAGTGTGATAACACGAGGACAGAACGCTAGCTCTGACCCAGCCAGGAGACAGCGGGGTGATTGTCGGGCTCTGCCCTTCTCGGTACTTGGGGCTCCCGCATGGGTGAGGGGCAGGCCTGAGGAAAATCTGAAGGCTGCAGCCAGGGGCTCCTGCCAAAGTCCTAGGCCAGGAAACGAGGGCCTGGAGCCTATACAAGGCTTTGTCCCCACCCCTATCTGCTGCGTCTCCTCCCATCCCCTCATCCTCTTGCTTCCAGTCACCCGGGGCCTCCTGGGCCTCCCTTTGTCTGGAAGCTCCTGATCTGTCCTAATAAGAGCAGGTACCCGACCACTGAGGTATTAGCACACTAATGCTGCCTTTCCGTGGGCATGGTGGAGAGGCAAAGCCAGCACCCCAGGGTTCCAGGTCTACCTTTCCTAAACAGGAGAAGATGCAGTGTTGGTGTCTGTGATTAATAGGACTAGTGCACCCACTGAACACATTAGTCCACCTGTCACCAGCCATATTGGTCCTACCACAGCAGTCTAGTGATGGGCCAGCAGAACCCAAACTCTCCGGGTAATCTCCCAGAGTGCAGAGGGCTGCCCATTTCAGAAATGTCTCAGTCTGGATTGTTCCTGGTGGCACAGCTTCAACCCAACTGAAGGAAACCGTGACCCCATAAGAAGCCAGACCCGGAAGCTAGCATTCATAGTGCTCCACGGGGCAGAAATGGCAGGGGTGAGTCCTGCCCTGCAGACTGAGGTCAGCCTAGCCCAGATACCCACAGAGGCCAAACTCTGCCATCTGCCAGAAGCTGTTGTGTAGGCCAGCTTGGTCATGTTGGCATCTGGTTTGCATTTTAACTGACTGTGACTGTCTTGTAGTCCAGCCAGCCTGTCCTATCCCAGAATGATAGATGCCATCATTAATGAGGTCATAGGGGACTATAATTATTTGGGCCCTTGCTATATGCACCAGGCCCATATTCGTATGACAAAAGGGGAGACTGAGGCACGGCATTGTGGAACCCACACTGAGAAACAAGAAGGCAGATGGTCTTGTTTGCCACGGTGAAGTTTCAGCCCTGCTGCTACCTTACTTGGGCAGGTTACTTAATCCTCCTTACCTCAGTTTCCTTATCCACAACATGAAGGTAAGAATAGAAGCACCTCCTCGGTGATCCCAGGGCTCTTTGATGAACTACACAAAATCACATAAAGCCTCCAGAACTGAACCTTCACATTGAGGCGTGAGGTCATTGCACGCTATTATTTACAGAGTTTTCTTCTATCTTCTATGTCACCTGGTTGTCCGCCATGTGGCATTATGCCTACTTGGCAGGTAGTGAAAAGGGATTAACCTGAAGCAGCTGTAACCTTGAGTCTCCCGGTTCTCCCCCCCCCCCAGGAACCAGTGATGACCTGTTCCAGGACTCAGAGGGGCAAGAGGGCACCGAGGCCGTGGAGGAGCACCAGTTCTCAGACCTGGAGGACTCTGACTCCGACTCAGACCTGGATGAAGATGAGGAGGAGGAGGAGGAAGAGAGCCAGGATGAGCTGTCCAGGCTATCCTCAGAGGCAGCTCCGCTCTGCCTGCCAACCACACTACAGGAGGACTCCTCACCCATTCAGGGCCGTCAGCCTCCAGATACCACCTCTGACGAGGCCCCACAAGGCAGCTCCATCTCAGAAGCCACACACTTGGCAGCCAGCAGTTGCTGCACACCTAGGCGGGGTACCCCAGGCCTTCCCCAGGTGGGACTGGCCCCAGTGGAGACGGACATGAGCTCGGCTCTAAGTTCCAAGGCTATGCCCCCTAGGAGGTCATGGTCCCCAAGCAAAGAACCAGGCAGCCGCCCCTCACTCACTCGCAAACATGCACTCAGCAAAAACGACTTGTCTCCCCAGCGATGTTCACCGGCCCGAGAAGCTCAGGCCTCAGTCACAAGCACACCTGGCCCCCAGATGGACCCAGGAAGGGACAGAGGCCCTCATCTTTGTGGGTCTCCAGGACTGGAGCTGTCTCCTCTCACTCCCCACCCCATAGGAAGAGAGGTGCCCCCTTGGGCACCTCTGCCCCATGAACTCAAGAGTGCCACAGACACTGGCACCCCCAGATATTCACCCACCAGAAGATGGTCTCTGGGTCAGGCTGATTCACTCCCACAGTCAGAGCTGCCAGGGAAGCGGCCCCTGGCTGGGCCCTGCAGCCCCTCAGTGGGCAAGTGTAGCCTGGGCTTGGGGCCGGTTCCACAGGCTCTCCTCCAGCCCGTGCCTCTACCTCACACACTTCTCAGCAGAAGCCCTGAAATGTGCAGCTCTGCATGGGTGAGTCCCCAACATGGCCTTCCTGGGGGGGCGGGAGCTGCCCGCTCATACCCTCTGCATGTCACATCCAGAGCCAGCCTGGCATTCCTGGTCTGGTCACATCGCAAACATGTCTTGGGTCCCTCCCCCCCCCCCCCCTCCCCGTGCCAGCTAATATTGCACTTCCCCGCGCCCTCAGATACCTCAAACGTGGCTCTGGAGCTCGTGGGCTCTGGGTTCTAGCCCTAGTGAGCAGTGTAGCCTTGGATGTGGGTGTAAGCACTTGTTTCTTCAGCTGTCCCTTCCCTGTCCACTAGTGTCCTTGGAGCAGATGGCAGAACTTTAGTAAAACCATCCATCCCCATCACATCCTTCAAGGACTTCAGTCCCCTCCACCCCTGGGAAGCCAGCAGCATAGTGGCTAAGAGCAGCATTGCCTCTGTCATTTCTGTGTCACCAAGCCGCTGCTACCCATCTCGATCGCTGGTGACATCTGTCTTCTACATTGTCCCCGCCCTGATGCCTTGCAGTGTCTGTACCACAACACCCTGCCACCATGGCTGCCACCACCCAGTGCTGGCACTGTCCCGTTTGACATTTCTATCACTGTGTTGTCATGACCCCACAGCATCCCTTCTGGGGGAGCACTGACCAAAACGCCTTTCTTGTTAATTCGGGGGTCCCATTAAAATTCCTGTGGTGAAGATTGAGATCCTTGGGTGGGAATTCATATGCAAGGGTAAAGTTAGGTCAAGACCATTTTAAGAAGGGAGGAGGCCAAAGAGCCAAAGTAGACCAGGGTGACCACAGAGCCCCCATACCCAGGAGCCCTCCTGCAGCTGTGGGACCAACATGTACTTCTGAGTTGCCCATAGGAAGCTCTTGAGCACTGTGATGGGAGTCCCAATTCCAGCCCCACTCCCCACCCTACTCTGACCTCAGGTGGGCCTGCCCTCAATGACTCTAGACCTCAGCTCTGCGCCTGCCAGGCATGTAACCTTTGCCTTCCCCTGTCTTGTTTCTGACCCCACAGAAAACTGAGATTCCAAGTCCATCCTGCTCAGCCGGCCCTGTTCCTGTCTTCCCCCGACCATTCTCTGCCCCCCATGACTTCCATGGCCACCTCCCCAGCCGCAGTGAGGAGAACCTCTTCAGCCACCTGCCTCTGCACTCCCAGCACCTGAGCCGCGCCCCCTGCCCCCTCATTCCAATCGGTGGGATTCAGATGGTACAGGCCCGGCCAGGAGCCCACCCCACCCTGCTGCCAGGGGCCTGTGCAGCCTGGGTCAGTGGCTTCTCAGGGGGTGGCAGTGACCTCACCAGAGCCCGAGAGGCCCAGGAGCGCAGCCGCTGGAGTCCCACAACGAGTCCTTCTGCATCGGTGTCTCCTGTGGCCAAGGTCTCCAAGTTTACACTCTCTTCAGAGCTGGAGGAGGAAAGGACGGGCAGAGGCCCAGGAAGACCTCCTGACTGGGAACCTCAGAGGGCTGAAGCCCCTGCAGAACCCATGGGCACACGCAGCCCCTGTTCCCCACAGCTGCCCCGGGGCCACCAGGTAGCACCATCCTGGAGCGCCCTCTTGGAGTCACCACACACACTGGCCAACCGCAGGGCCTCGAGCTTTCCACCGATGGACCGCAGCAGCTCCATGGACTGCCTGGCAGAGGCCTCCACGCACTTCCCATCCCGGAGCAGGAACCTCTCTGGGGAACCCAGGACCTGTCAAGGCTCCCCTGAGCTCTTACATAGTGGGGAGCCCAGGACACCTCTATTCCTACCCAAAGACAGTGGCCCCCCAAGCACCTAGCCTCTCCAGCCGCTTCATCTGGTTTCCAGGGTTCAGCAACAGACATTCCCAGCCAACTTCCTGGAGTCACCATGCTCCCATGGGCGTCCTCTCCCATCTGTCCACCTGTCCATCAGTCCACACGGCTCCTGCTCAGACCCATCTGTTATATTGTTCCACATATGCAGTTACCTGTGCCTTTTTCTAGACCTTTTGTTGCTTGAAAAGAAACAACACAAATCACACACATCCATAAAAACAAAACAAAACACCACTGAGGAGCTTGAGGCTGTGACTAGTTTGTGCTTTGGGGACAGGGCTGTAGGAGGGGCCTCTTCACCTCCAATGCCACACTCCACACTGGCAGCTGTCCCACCTCAAGGCCCATGAGAAGTTACATTGCACCGAGGGAAAGAAGAAAAGGGGAGGGGGAAGTATCATTAAATTCAAGGCAAGCACTCCTAGAGAGACGCCTAGGATTCCATGTATATACCCAGCTAGTAGCCACTGCACTCTGCACAATGACCAGAACTCCGAGGCAGAAAAACACCAATACAGGCAGAAACCAACCCTAAGAACATTAGCTTTTCTTGTTTTTCTAAGAGTCAGGACAAAAAGCTGCTTTTTGCTAGCATCTCAGTACAGAGTAATAGCATGCAGGGACGCAGTGTGGACAATGGAAGGGACGCAGTGTGGACAGTGGACTCATCTTCTCCCTCTATACTCCACCTTCTCCCGGAGCTAATACAGGGGTCCAGGTTTCTCCTACACACCTGTAGGTCTCTGCCTCCTGGGCCTGGCCATGGACTGGCTCCTTTATGTTTAGAAATACCTGAGGATGAAGGGACCATGGCAAGACTAAAGATATTCCTAGTCCAAGCCTGTTCTGAGCCTGGGGTTTGGAGTCTGTTTCCCCTCCGTCCCCAAGAAACGAAGTGTGGCAGGCTCTTCCCTCGTGGCTGGATTACACATGAGCACATAGACACACATAGCAACCAAAGATGGTGTTTGGTACTTTTTCCAACCTCTTGAGATTCCCTTCTCTTGACTTGGAATATTTCTGAATTGCCCCAAGTCATTTGAATTTTTCTCCAGTTCCCAAGGCAAAACCTACTTTGGAAAAATAAAAGTAATAGGACCAAAAATTAAAATCCCAGGTTGAAATATAGAACCTGACTTTTTGAATGCAAAAAGAAAAAAATATTATGGTTACTGTTTCAAAGACAGAAATGCTCTTTGCCTTCTCCAAAGGAGAGAGAGAGAAAGGGGACAGTGGTGAGGAGGCCCCTCCTACAGCCTTGTCCCCAAATCACAAAGCATGTTCCAGCTATGCTGGATACTGTTGTCACAGTATTGGAAGCACAGGCCTATGCCTGGACATCAGGCGGGGCACGGGGTGAAGGCTCAAGGGAGAGCTGAATGCTGAGGCTGTTATTTGAGAAAACAGACAAGGCTGTGAGGGCACCATGCTGAGCTACCCTCTCACTCCCTACAGTTTGCGCCCTTCTCCATCTGGCAAATCAGCAGCCACAGCCCAGTGCCCAGGCCAATCACCTGGCTTGTGCTCTTTGTCTGACCCAATACTTAAAAAGTAAGAGTCCGTAGGTCAGGGCCTCCTGTGTACCTGGGAGAAGCTGTCAAGTCCAGCTGGGACTCTGGGGGGAAGAGAGGTCACAGCTTTCCTCCCATCTGCCCCTCAGCCCTAAACAGGCCTCACAGATTGGAGATACTAAGGGCTGAGGTGAGGAGCTGAACATCAAGCTTGATGGCTTCCTAGGCAAGATCTCCTGTCCACAGACTACAGGCTAGCTTCTGACCTTGAGATAGCCACTGCTCTCCACTTCATTCTATACCCAAGATCTCCTGGGAATTACTCTCCTGACTCCTCTCTCTCATTCTCTCATTCTCTCATTCTCTCATTCTCTCTCTTTCTCTCTCTCTCTCTCTCTCTCTCTCTCTCTCTCTCTCTCTCTCTCTCTCTCTCTCTCTCTCTCTCTCACACACACACACACACACACATCCTTCTTCTCTGGCAGTCTAGTGGCAGATACAGTATGGTCACAGAATGGAGAGTCCCCACAGTTACTGGTCCCAGCCAACTCAGGGAAATGGGATATAGCAAAGCTAGGAATTGGAGACTTGTCTCTAGGTGACAGAGATAGAATACACCGATAGACTCTAGCCCCACACAGATGCCCAGAGGGCTGCAATGGATGCCATTACCAGGCACAGCTCTAATCTCATTCAAACTCTCTCCGCCACCCCCAAGCCCATGGCCCCGGGCTGCACACACCTTCTCCATCTGGAAAACCTCTCACTCCAGGAATACAGTCTGGGCTCCTTGCCCACAACCGGCCACTTCTGACTTTGCAGTCTGCCTGTGACACTATTGTCAGTGATGACAGCCTAGTTCGGACACCTATGTGGGGTCTGCAGAACAAGATGGCCACTCCTCGGTACAGACTGTCTCTGATCCTTACCTGTGACTGCTGGGGAGATCTCAAGTCAAATCCTGTCCTCCATGGGTGGTGGTTCCAAGCCACCTGTCACTGAGGCCTGACCCCTAGAAACCCTTTACTGGGTGACCTCACATCATTCAGAGTACTAACCCCTTCCTCACCAAGGGCAGGTCCGCCTCTTCCCAACCCCAATCATAGCCGACACTCTGGTCCCAGGCACCAACACCCTCCAGGGGTTCTGACAGGGGTAGCTGCCTATTATCCAGACACAAAGTCTGCCTGGCTCAGTGGGGAAACCTCTTAAAAGCATTGGATCCCAGCTTCCTCTAGGCATTGTTCGCTCTCGCCTGGCCCAGTGGCCTAGGAAGAAGGAATATGTCTGAGCTGAAGTCTCCTTCTAGTCCTTGCTGCTGACTCTTCCAGGTCAAGTCCTGGGAGACTGATCTGCTCTGCCGTGTTGTCTAAGAAAGTTCCCAAAGTCAGTGCCGCCAAATCTGCTTCTGTGTTGTGGTCCCTGTCTGCTTGACATTTGAAAACCGCTTGGGCACTGCTGATCACTTTACTGAATGTGGTGATCAAGAAGAAAGGGAACCGTGTAGGCAAATGTAAGATACTCACGCTCTGTAAGATAAATCTTTGCCTTTGTTTTTCGAAAAGGTGTATGCGTTCTGTGCGTGAAATCGTCTGTAGAGAGTTTCCACTTTCTTCAATGGCAATACATTCCAAAACTCGTACTGTAGACATGTACAGCAACCGCATCGGAGAGGGGTAGTTTTGCCTGTGGTTTTATTTAAACTCCAGTTTCTACACTTGTGTCTTGCAGTTGTCAGTATGGTATTCATCAGTGCAAAAGAAAAACAACAATAACAACAACAACAACAAAAAAACTCAAACAAAAATCCACGCAGGTCTAAAGCACAGTGTCTGTTGTACAAAAGGAAAGAATCGCTCAGTATTGGTGTGTGTGACCCTTGTAAATCCCATCTGTACTGTGAATGAGACGTTTTTACAAGTATAATAATTGCCTTTATTACTGCTTGGGCTGAGTGTTCAGCCTGAAGATATTTTTTAAAAAAAATAGCACGTTGGAATAAATTTGAAAATTCCCAACAGAGCCTTGTTGGCCTGGCTCATGGCTTTTCTTACTCTTTTTCAAAATGTATTTTTATTTATGCATCTGTGTGAGTGTATGCCACATAAAGGGGTGTCCCTAAAAGCCAGAAAGAGGGTATTAGAGCCCCTGAAGCTGGAGTTAAAATGCGCGGTCTTGTATGGGTGCTGGGAACCTAACTCAGATCCTCTGGAAGAGCAGCAAGTGCTTTTAACCACTGAGCCATCTTTGTGGCCCTATCTTGGCTTTTCTTGAGGACTACAGATTATCAGGGTTAGGGGAACACTGCATGTCCTAAGCATTCGTTTTATTATACAGCAATCAGCCCCATAGAAGGGAAATGACTAGGTCACCGTCACATAGCCTGGGACTTCAATTATTTCCCTCACTTCTGGCCTGTCAATAAAATCCTCCATACACCACCATGGGAAAGAAGCCTGAATTCATCCCTAGGGTAACCATATCAAATTTTCACCTGGCTTTAAACAATAGGAATGGACTCCCCAACAGTTGTGGAACACAGGAGTCTGAAATCTTCTTCTGTGGTTATGCCACCTTGAACATGTCCATTCTCGTTGATCTTTGAAGCTAACTAGAATGGGCCTGGCTAGTACTTGGGAGATGTCTGAGGTCTGGGTGTTGCCAAGTTGGTCCTTCTGCAGGTTCTGAGGAGACTTCGTTCTTGGCCTTCCTCGGCTCCTGGTGGCTGCAGGTAAGTCATGGTAGTCCTGGCTGTTAGACTCTGTCAATCTCATGACTCTTCCATACATCCGTGCTCCCTTCCCCAACACACTCATCATTGGACTTACAGTCCCACCTCCCTCCAGGATGTTCTCATCTCAAGATCCTCATCACAGCTGCAAAGGACTCTGTTCCAAATAGGGAACTCTCAGAAATTCAGGAATTATGATTTATGACAATATTTGAGAGCCACTGTTGAACCAGCTATAGTATGGATCCTGACTCCAGATCCTGACACAGACACTGATGGCTTGTGTGAGGTTGGGAAGGTCAACTAACCTCTCTGTGCCTATTTTCCCATCTGGAAACCAAAATGTAATGTTCTAAGTCTGAAGGAAGGGTCGTTGTGAGGATTAAATTAGATGTGCATGCAGGAAAGCCAAGGATACCTTGAACACAGTAAGTCCATGACAGTTTATGCACAGCCTTCAAAAAACAATGTGGGAATAGCTAGGATGGCAAAAATGTGATTTCCCATCTTCTGTAGTCAACACTGAGTGCCAGTGAAGGTTGCCAGTGTCTGTTGTACAAAAGGAAAGAATCACTCAGTATTGGTGTGTGTGCCCCTTGTAAATCCCATCTGTATTGTGAATGAGACATACAACAGACACTGTACAGGGCCCACCTTCAGAGAGCTTCCATCTGAGCTGGCTTTGGGCAGTCATTTTGTCACAGACTCAACTTCAGCAGTGACAGAGAGCAAAGGTTCTCGTCTACAAGAAGTCAGAATATCAGGAAAACTTTCCTAGAAAGACCCTACGACAGCAAGGAAAGGAATCCAGGTCAATGGGTCAAGCAGGAGGCTTTGGGACACGGTGTTAGCCAGAAGATGAGCACTACGGACCTAAAAGGATAACTTTATTTGGGCAAAGGGGACCAATGCCAACTTATGGAAAAGATGGACCAGCACCATTCCTGGCACATGGCTGGCCCTCTGTAGACATGCTGAGAACTGTATGGCCAACGGTGGGCATGGATGGGTATTGAAGAACCATCGAGGCAAAGATGGGAAGGGACACTTTGTCATACACCTAGACACAGGCAGCTGGACAGTAGCAGGACAGTTGTGAGATTGATTGATGATTGATTGATTGATTATGGGGAGAAAATATTGAACATTGTGGCTGGTGGAATAAGAGAAGCCTAGGGGCGAAGGAAGGAGGCTTGGGAGTCCAAAAACGTATAAGAAGTCAGCGTGTCTCAGTGACAGTTCATAGTTCCGGTGAGGGATTTTCTGTCAACAAAGTAGAAGCACCAGAGTAAGTTGCAGATGAGCCAAAGAGACCTGAGAGGATGTGAGTGAGCATTGAGGGCAGTGAGAGAACGTCTCCAGGAAAGGAGTGTGTTTTGCAAGTCCGGGGGAGGGGTGGCCACTGTCTGCTCTGCTGTTGGTTTCTCCAATGGCAGTCAGCAGCCAGACCATAGGTACCAAAATTCTCCTAAGCGTGGCTTCTGCCAGCCCACAGCAGAGTGTGGCAGTGAGTGGGGAAGCGAGGAGACGGACAGGTGAAGTGAGACTGTGTGCCATCAAGTGTGGAAGGGGGAGGTGCGGGAAGACACCGTAGCAGTCTGCGATGCTGTGATAAGCACCACCACATGGAGAGGAAGGGGTTTCTTTCATCTGTAGCTTATAGTCCACCATGAAGGGAAGTCGGGGCAGGAACCCAGAGGCACGAACTGAAGCAGAAGCCGTGGAAGAGTGTTGCGTATTGCCTTGCTCCCCATGGCTTGCTCAGCCTGCTTCCCTATGCCACCTGGCCAAGGGCCACACTGCTCACAGTGGAACAGACCCTCCCACATCAGTGCCTTAGGGACTGAACTACAAGGCAATCTAATGTAAGCATGTTCTCAATTGAGAGTCTCTCTTCCCCCGTGACTCTCGCTTGTGCAGAGAGGGTGGGGGGGGAGAGAGAGAACCTAGCCAGTGATGGTCACACAATACCATTTGAATGCAGAGAAAAGGGAGCATCCTTAAACTGTATTTCAGAGTGAGGCCACAGGGAATGAAGCCTATGGACCGCAGTTGTTGAAGAGGCAGAGGCCAGGATGTGAGTGTCGGGTTCCAGGCAGGTGGTGTAGGTAGCAAGTGAGGATCATCTCTAGTGATGACAGAGCTGAGATGAAGGTCGTGTCTGGAAGCCAGGTTACGTCAGTCAGGACAGGTTCTGCTGTGCTGCTGGAATAAGCAGGCCTGACACTCAGGGCTGACGGCAGCAAGAGTACATTCCCTCACTGTACATTCAGTGGGCATCAGCAGAAGAATTCTGCTCACCCCAGTGACTTGGGAGACCCAGACTGATGGCAGCTCCATTCCCGACTCCCATGATCCTCAGAAACAGAAAAAACGAGAGTATTAGGGGTTGGCAACAAGTAACCTGTCATTGCCTGTCTTCATTATCAACGTGCCTGGATTTAGAGTCACCTGGGAGATTGGTGTGGCACACCCTGGGTGTCTATGAGATGTCTCTAGAGAAGAGCCACACAGAGAGAAAAACCCATCCCAAATGTGAGCACCATCCTATAGTCCAGACATAATGGGGGGGCAGGAGAAGCTGACTAAAGACTGGCATTCCCCTTTTACTCTGCCTTCTGGCCCAAGGGGAGAAGTGTACTGTTCACCCATTCCCTCCCCTGACACAGTGGACTGAGCCCACTGACCCTGTGTGCCAAAATAAACCCTTCCTGCCTTAGCTGGTGTCAGGAATTCCATTGCACAGACACAAGTGACTCAGACATACCCTTCTTTCCCATCACAGGCCCGAGTCAGCCACACAGCCAGGTCTTATGGAGGGGAACAGGGATGTTAGAGTAAAACTTCTGCTTCACACAAGATTAGGACTTCTCAGAGCTGAGCCAAATAAGCAGAGGACCACGATGAGATGGGAAGGGGGCAGGGACAGTGATGTCCCCCTCAGAGGGGATGCACTTTCACAGGAACAGGGCAGGTGGAAATGGCCTGTGGAGGATGTGGGAAGCAGAGAAGGTACCCCATGCTAAAATCACAGTGTGTGGGAGGATAAGGAATAAGTAATGGAGCCTGGAGAGGATACCCTAATGGGGGGGACAGGAAATGGGGAGGACACAACACAGAGTTAGGGATACTCATCCAAGACAGCAAGGAAGCAGAACCCTGCCCAGCTCCAGGAGAAGATGCACCAGGCACTGTGTCCAGACTTTTATACATTGTAGCCCTGACAACTACCCAGCATATGAGTTCAGGTGCCATTCTTAGAAAAGAAAACAGCCAAAAGTAGTGACAGTGAAACTAGAGACCCCCCCTCAAGTATAGTGACATGTGCCAGTAACCCCAACACCGAGGCCGAGGCAGGAAGATCTCAAATCGGCAGCCAGCCTGAGCTACATGGTGAGATCCAATTGCTATGGCTGGCTCCAATCAGCCGTTTAGGGAACCCAGGCCCCCCTTATCCTCCAGTCTCTTCCTGGCTCCAGGGTAATGCTGGGTGTCAGGCTGCACAACCTCCTCTGCTTGGAGTCCACTTGCTGCTCTCTTGAGTAGACTTTGGGAATTCCACGTCTATCTCCTGCCTGCCCCTAGCTCGGTGACAAACCAGCCACACAATGGCATGCGGTTACCCCGGGGCTTTGCAGGGGTCGCAAGCCCTCCCCCTTTAAGAAGTGAAAGGGACAGAATGCATGTTTATTACAGATGAAGGCAGTGCCCAAGATCACACTCTCACACGTGATAGGCCACAATCCCATCACCTCTGTTCCAGCATCCCAGGACAGTGATGGCTGAGCTCACCTGGCATCTTGGCCAAGCTCTGCTGGGTCCCCAGCCAGAGCTGGGTGAAGTCCACAGGACCTGGAGATCTTGTGCTCATTCCTAAGACTACCCATTCTGGGCTCAGGCCTTAGGGACCATAGTCTGTTCTAAAGAGTTTAGGGACAGGACACTATAGGCAGAATAGCATCGGAAGGCTGGGCCAGCCTGAGATGGGAAGGTCACAGGGACAAGAGCCTGAGGACACTGCAGCCTGGGCCTCGTTTATGCAGAGCTCAGCATGGGTGTTCCGAGTCCCTGGGAGAAGGACACTTATCACACTGTCACCTTTTACGTGGAAGGGAGCCTGGGCTCTGACGCATGATCCCCATATTTGGCTAGCTGTCTGTGAAGAGACCAGCCCTTTGTAGCCCTGAGACCTCCACTGGGGATAGGGGACCCCAGGTCACATATCCCATATTCCTATCCTGACCTCAGCCACGTTAAAAAGATACAAGTGCCCTCTTCCTGATGACAAAAT